ATTCTACGGTGAGATCTACCAGTTAATCTCTATCGCATTCGCTCAGAACCCACTATTTCCCCTCTTGTCCATTTGTTTCTCCGGTTCGTGACCCGGACTAGCACCGGGTGTGACATGTCCACATATAGGGGTTAAAATTTTTTACTATTGGTTAAAATAAATATTATGCGTATATTATTATTTAATATTATTATTTTATAGTAGCGTGCGTTATGTATTTTATTATATAAAATTTAATTGATATTATATGGCCCCTATATTATTTTATTGAAACAGATGTTTTTATTTATAATAAAAATTGACAAATGAGAAAATATCAAAAACAACAGATGTTCATTGGTATTTTTAGAGACGAATAAAATTGGAAACTCACTAATGGAACTACACGTTGTATACTAATTACTCATTTCAATTCGACCGAACTATTTTTTCTCATTCAATTCTAGAATACATAGATTATAGGTTATAAAGAATTATATTATTACCTATGATAATAGGATAGAGTTTTTTTTTATTCCGTTTTTATACGCCTATCTTCCAGTGTAGGTACGCTATAATTATTTATTGTAACCCAACATAGAGTTAGGTTATATAAAGTTAAGGTTATGTATCTACACAATAAAATCTCACGAGGGAAATATATTTTTTCCAATTATATATATATATAATTACATATATAATATTTCATAGGTACCTACGTCAATTATATTATATTGTACGCAATCGTTGTCGTATATATTAATTTAAATAATTGTATGTAAGGAAGAAGTTATTTATCAGCTTTGATTGTCGCATAGGTATATAATATTATCGTACACATTATGCAATTTTTAAATTACGTTACCTTAAATTAAGCGGCGTGTATTTTGTTCCAAGAAAATGTACTTTATTTTGCACGAAGTATTATTGTTTATATTGCAATTTATTTGTGCATATTTTGCATTTTATACGGTATTGTTAACATAAAATTAAGTAGGCCAGTAAAAGTTGTTGTTTATAAAAGATTAATAAACCTCCGATATTAATATTAGAAATATTTTCATATTTCTTTTGTAACTACTAATTTATTATTTGTAATTTAATAGATAATTTCTTTTTACTGATTCTCCCGTTTTGATTTGGTGAATTTCTCGGCCAAGTCACCAATAACGAACGTTTCCGTTCGAAACACGGTAAAACTACCTATATTGTTACGTGTGTTTTCCACCACCCTCTGTTTAATAGATAAGTATTATCTCGCGAAGTGCGCCTATGTTTAAATATTAATATTTATTTTATTCCGGTTGTGCATACAACACACACATACACTGTAAATATATCCATTAGACCGTCAACGCTAACCAGTTCCCAGGTGGGCCCCAAAAACCGACACATACACAGGCATAAAATAATAATCGTTTGGTATATTATTATAATGTGTACACATAATATACGCCATCAGATATTATATTATACATTTTCTCTTCCCTTCTCTCGTCTCTCGCTGTCTCACTCGCGCGCTCTCACTCACTCTCTCTCTCTCTCTCTCTCAATGTACACACACACACACACCAGTCTTCCGTCTCTGTTTAGAGACGAGAATAGAACAAAAAGACACATAATATTCCTATATAATAATTACTTTAATGCGGAGCTACGTGACTGTATAGTTAAATATTATTATTATTATAGCCCCCCTCGGTTCTGTTCATATCTTTCCGTCTTTATAATATATACATACATACGTATATATTTATATAAATACAGTGAACGGATAGAAGGGGAAGAGGGTTACCAAATATATATTTTTATTCCGACATCAGACTTATTTTATTAATGTAGCAGTTGCTTTGGGGTACAGTCGGAATAATAATAATAGTAATAATAATAATAATAATAATAATAATAATGATAATAATAATAACCCATAACTATAATAATAATAATAATAATAGCTGCTAGGGGGTCTTGGTGGAATCGTAACAGCACAATGATAATAACGAGAATGCCTTAGTGTATGTGTGCAATAATAATAAAAATGTATTATTCAGCATAACACTATATTATTATATTTATACAATATAAACCAATACCATACTATTGTGTTCAGCGTATGTGTATAATATATTTATATATATATATATATAATATATGTATACGTATGTATGTGTGAGTTTATGTGTGTATTTGTGTGTATGTGTGTGTGCACACTATAGTCTTTAATATTTATTGTGGTTGTGTGAAACAAAATGTGTGTGTGCATGCACGTTCTGTTTCATCGATCCTTTTTTTTCGTGTGGCAAAATATTGTATTTTATATTTTTAAATAACATTCAACTGCGTCGTGTATATCGTATATGCTATTATCATTATTTTTAATATTATATTTTACGATTATTATTATTATTGTTATTATTATTATTACAATGGTATCCGGTTTTGTGTATGTGTATTTCCCCACTCTCTTTTACTCTGTCTCTCCCGTACTCTCTCCGAGTTTCGTTTGTCAGGGAAATAAATCGATGACTATCTTGTAATGGGGAAAAATGGTAAATGCTGTCCCGTGCAGTGGAAAAATAAATGTAATTCGTTCTGAAACTAAAGGGAGGGATCATTTTACTGCGGTAGGTACCTACGGATGATAAATTTCGACTATTGATTTTTTTTCATCGCAGCAGTTTCTTTGGCCACGCGAAACATTGAATATTTTGTTCAAAACTTTACAAATTACGTTGATATTACATAAAATATTTTCAGATTAAAAAAAAACTGAATATTTTATCACATATATTTAAAATTAATATTGTAGCTACATTATTTTATTTTATTTTTCATATTTTTAAATACGTGTAATAAAATATTAACACTACACTATAATACTGTAAATTATAATTAGTTTACTATACTGGCATACTTATTTTATAATTTATACAATATATTATAAAATAAGAATTTTATGAGCCGGCAATTATAATACCATGTCTTTAAAAATGTTTTTGTTATGTATATTGCGTACACTGCAATATTACCTATATAATTACATTATACATTATCGTTACATACTTACAATATGTGATTAGCTAATTTTCAATTTAAATCTAGGTTTTAGTAATGTCTAAAGTATTGATGAATATTATTGGTTTTCAATTACTTATTTGTTAGCGGTTAATTTAAAATTATTTTACTTTTATAATGATATTATAATATTTGCCATTTTATACTCTTCATGTGTATTATATAAATTCATTATATTAATTAGAATATCATTGATACAGTAATTTTTAGTTTAACCTACATAATATTGCGTATAATAATCTATAGTCAAACTTTCAATAATACGCTACCTAGTTATAAGTATTTATTTTTAAAATATATTTTGTTTACACTGTTCTTAAATAGTTTTATTCTACATACAATTAATTTAGTAGGACCTTCACGACTTCATTCAGCTAGTATTTTTCGCATTCGAAATGATGCACTTAAATATTTATTGACATGTGTCTCACGCCAATTTTTATCCTTATAGTATTGTTGAAAAATTGAACGACGTCGAGACGGTCGACGCCCCCGGACAGACGGAAAAAATAAAAATAAAACTATGTTCGCAAATACCCTTTGTCGCATAAAGTTCTGACCTGTGCATCCCAACCACGTCATTGACCCTCGTAAGCTTGATACAAACTTAACCTACCCTTTTCCATAAATTGTTTTCTAGTCCTAATCGGATATCCCTTTGGTATTATTCAGCTTAACTCACTGTTCACACTCTGAAAACTGATGTTTTACTGTTAATAAGTATCACGATTTTTCACCGGTGTTCATCTCGACAAATCAAACGAATTTTACAAACAAATAATGAAATATATAATTGAATTGTTGTTATTCGCATCGAAGGTTAAGGTATTTCATTATATGAGGTCATTTGACATTTACCCTTATTGTATACAAATGACCTTTTGATATATATTATATAATACATTTTAAATATCGATTATGAATATTCTGTTGCATTAATATTTCCAAGTGTGGTACTCATGTTTCGAATGTTATTATGAATTGTGAACAAATTCGTAAAAATATATTCAGAATAATTTTAAAGTTCATAGACCGACAGTTGATGAATATATATATACACATTCTCAACTTCGGGTCATTGGTAGTGACCATATATATCATTCAAGATTTTGGGCCGAGATAAATATAATATAATCTATGATAGCTGATTTTTTTAAAAAAAAAAGTGTTATATGTTATACTTAATGTAAATATTTTTTATTATTCTCGAATACTAGTCATGTATAATGTATTGTAAATGCGCGGGACTTTACACGCGTCAGCAGTCATTGCCCGTCCGAAGGTTCGGAATTATAAACAAATTTAAATTTCATAACTATTTTATTTAATAGACATATTACTAAGGCTCTATGTAATATTAAAGTATAATGTTTATTATTTATTGGCGCGGTTTAACTGGTTTAAGACTCAATTCAGTTCTACGTACACATATATTAGTTTTTTTTTTTTAATACACAGTAAATCATGTTCGATACAAGAATTAGGTTAACACAATACAGCACTACTGATTTGTGCTTGCTACAATAAATGTTTACAGGATGAGTGAGATATGTCTTACGAGATCTTCAGCCATACCCCTTTGGAAGATTATGACATGGTTCCCCGTAGTTTTTGGTTATTTTTAATGAATTGGGAGGGTTTGCGGAGAATTCTTTGCCTTTAACCCCAAATTAACCATTAAGTATTTAATAAATTTTAGTAGATTAACGTATGAAGTCATAGCGGTTTAAGAAGAAGTTATTAAGGTGAAAACATTTTTTGAATTCTGTATGAGCAGTATAAGTTATTTAAAATGCAATTAATTAACATTTTAAACAACTCCCTCTCTTATTAATTGTATTAAAAAATATATAACATATAGAATAGAATGTGTTAATATTATGTTTATTTATATAAATTAAATGTATACACATTTTTATAATTAAATTTTTATTTTGTGATTCTAGGCCAAAATGTTTGAAAGTTCTCAGGCCTGGCTCGCATCCACATCCTCGCCAATGACTTGTAAGTTTAATATTTATATTATAGTATACATGTATAATGATTATACAATATACCTACATATATAAATATAACATACTTGTTGTATTTATCATAGGAAGCCTTTTTGTTGTTATTACGATTTTGGCTTCAATAACATAAAACCTTATTTATTTATAAGGCATGTGTATATTCTATATAAAAAAAAAAACATATTCACTGTAGATTAATGTTATTACCCAACACTCAACAATATCCATTATTCTGTATGGTATATAATTTTATTAAAAATATCTTATTTGGAATTTTTATATCGATTGGCTAAATACCTTGTATTAATACTACACATAATTCAACAATTTTATTAAGTTTACATTGATGAAAAATTCCATATTTTACATTAATATATTTAATTTCACGTGCCTGATTAATATATGATTATACGAAATAATTTATCAAACCCAAAATCTTAAGTATTTTTACTCTCTCCCATTTGCAGCCAATGTAGATGATTTTGATATATTTTATAAAACTCAGCACTTTTTACGAAGGTTCAGACTTGATTGTTTATAATAATATATTACTTATTGAAAATCGATTTGTACCGATCGTTGATAGTGTTTTATAAATTAAAACACTATACCTATAATTGATTATATCTAACGTAAAAAAATTTTACTTGTTCTATTTCGTCTAACATATTTTTTATTTTAACTATGAATAATAACAATAGACCAGTACACTGCACGCAAAGGAAACAACTAATATTAATCCTTATGCTGCTTTTGAAGTTTTCCAAGTCCAAGTGCGGCCGTCTGATTGTGTAGAAAAAAGTTAAAAAAAAAAAAACAATAATTATTGGAGTGTATCTGCCTATTTGCTACTTATGTAATGTCATATTGAATCGACCACACTCGTTTGCAAAAATATTATTGACGAGTGACCGAATTATAGCTGACTCGTGTTCATTCGATCTGACCGAGTAAAAAAAAAAATATATATATAAATAAATAACAAAGTACGTATAGTAATATGTCTATTTTAAAGGACATATTTTATTTTCCTCGTCCACGTTAGTGGGTCACGACACGTGACGCGATGATACTATAATAATTGATTGTGTACAATACGAAAAAAGTGCATTCGGCGCGTTGGTTGCGACGGCGGCGGCGGAAGATTATCGCTACACAGCCACCGCTGCCGCCGTCCGCGTAGACTACCACCACAAAATACAACAACAAAAACAACCGTTTGCCGCCGCCGCCGCCACCGCCACCGTTTACACTTTACAGTTACCACCACTACCGCCACCACCACCGTCGTCGTCGTCGCCGCCGCCACCGCCGCCGTCGCCGCCACCACCGTCGAATCCGTTGACGGCACCGCTCACCACGTGCAAGCGGCGCCGCGCCGCCGGTCACCGGTAGTGTGATTAGTGACTGTAAACAACCGTTCGGCGGCGGGTGGGAGGGGGGAAAAACCCACGTGGACGTGTCGTCGGAAATGCGTTTCGCGTTGTCTCCGCGTACCGTTGCACCCGTCCGAGGAAGGCGCGCATTATCGGGTGCCGTTCTAACTGACCTTCGATCCTGCGCTCCGCTCGACCGACTGCAGCGTCTCGTCGTATCAGCAGCCACCCGGAACGACGCGCGCGTTATTTCATCTCATCCGGTCGTAAAATTTTGCCGAAAACCAATACGCGAGACACCTCGCCGACTGCAGGTCGTCCGGTTCGCAGGTGCGTTTCGCTCTGCACTGCGCCGCTGAAGCTGCACATTCTGTGTGTGTGTGTGTGTGTGTGTGTGTACATACCGGTGATCGTAAAATTATATTGGATGCGTATATAAATTGCATTTAACGAAACTATAGGAACTGCCGACTTGGATGACAATAAATTGTTTTAGTGTTTTCGAATAATGTCGTTACAATAATGTTATTATATCACGCATAATTGGAACGGAGAGAAATTTCACGTAACAATATGATAATATAGAGTTGTCTCGTTATCATGTGCACCTACCCTTTTAAGTTTGTAGTGATTGAAAATAATTAATTCTACATACATCCGACAGAGAGGTCCGCGTACGATCAATAATGTCGTGATGTCGAATTGATGTAATAATAATATGATATTATATAGGGTATCTACACTCTCGCGCGGGTGTTTTAAATATTTTATTATATATATTTTATCTGTGTGTGCAACAATGAATACACGATGAATATCATATTATAATGTATATAATATAGTATATTATGTATATCATTTATATATATATTATATGCGCTGAGTAATTAATCCTAATGAAGTAAATATACGTGCACCTATAGATAATTTTATGTACCTACATACATACACACTGAGTGTCATTATAATGAATTTATGAGAGAGCGATAACTTCTCGTAATGCGACGTAATATACGCGTAACATTATAATCCTAAATATTCCTATCGTATAATTTGATCTTTCGTACTTTTTAATTGTCACGTACTTTGAAAATGTTTTAAAATGTTTATCTATTTTATTTGTATAATATTAAAATGTTTTTTTTCATCGTTTTCGTGCCTTTAAAAAAAAATAAAAAAAAAAAATACGTGCCATATCTGTACTTCTCCTTTTCGACCTAATTTATATACAGGTGCCTAAATATCTTCGCCTTCGTGTTATAGAAAAATACAATCAGCAATCACCCACATAATATTGTAATAGCGAACAAATTATTTACCAACTTTTGTACCGAAAACCGAAATCTATTCCGTCGATCGATGGTTATGCGAACAAAATCCGTTCGTTTCGCTGCCGCCGCCGCCGCCGCCGCCGCCACCGCTCTTCCCTTCGCCTGGTATATTTTATTTATATACCGAGTGTCGTGGTGTATTACAATTGGCGGTCTAGTTCAAAGCAAATGCCGCACGAGCCACCTATATAAGATATCTTATTATATTGTTATTATGTCTTACAATTTTGTACCGCGACCCGCTGCGTCCCGCGTAAATTTACTCGGCCGCCCGACGATGACTTTAGTGCAGTATACCTGCAGCATTTCAATCGCTACTTAGCTATATCGTTACCTACGATACGATATTGTAATAGCGGAATGATAGATACCGACATTTCGTCTATCGTTGAGCAATTATATTAAAACGTAATCATACACATCATGGAAAATTAATCGATCAGGCCTTAAATTAAAAGACCGATGACGGTGTCACACGGTCTTTAATAATATTATAATATTATAAACCAGTATCACGCGTGACTACGATGGCTTATTTAACGCGCGATTGATATTATAATAGTAATATATTTATACCTTATCCACTTACCGCGACTTCCACAGTTCCACTACCGCTCGACGGGTGTAATCTGAACGACTCGCGCGTTAACGCCGATACGATTATGCTTTTACCGATATCGATGTAATAAAATATAATAATAGTAAATCGCCTGCAGATCTGCCACCTGGTGGTCTTAAAGAATTTCGCCGGTCCGCCGAGTAAATATTTTTAAACGTAAAATAAAACAAACAATTTATTCTGTTTTCAATTATTATTATAGATCATGAGTGTTAGTGACGAATTTATATTCTGCCGGAATTTCAGCTGGTAGATTTAAAAACGCTTTTAGTGTTTTGCGGCTGTATTACGCGGTAAGAAGAGGACATATTGTATTCAAATTGTAATTTATATAAAGGTCATTTCAAAAGTCTAAAATGTTATACACGCGCACGACATCAACATATTATCAAACTTATGCGGTGGGTTTTAGTTAAGCCTCGATCCCTTGTATTACAAATTATCAGCCTCTCCCAAGGAAAAATCCTGACTACTCCACTGCTGCACGTTGTATACAAAATATTATTATCGTACGGTATTGTATAGCTTCTGTGTATAATATTGTAGGCGGCACCTATACCCCTTCGGATAATGCGAATAAATTGTAATTCCATATAACACGGGAACTTATTAAAAATTTAACTATATAATATATATTATATAGAGTCGAGCGGTCAAACGCGCGTAATATAATGGTGGTACCTATATACTATCGTACATTATTCACCACCCAGGGCCCAAGGGATACACAACAAACGGGCTTAGCCCCATCCCCGCTACAGTGTACATACCGTCCCCGCCCGTCTTTTTTCTCTCGCCCTTTTCTCCTTTATTATTATTATTTTTTTTTTCTCGTCCGTATATACCCATTATCATTGCAGCACAACGAGGTCGAAAGGTTAATGAGTTTGTACACATACATATATATATATATAAATTATAACAATATTATATATAATATTATAATACATAGTAACGCGTAGGCACCTACCTATATATAATACACTACTTGCAGTATGCGTACATATTATATACTTACATAACTATGTACCCATTATAAAGATACGATAATATTATAACGCGTGTAACGATATATAGGAAAAGGAAACCGAATATTATTATAATAATAAGTATGCGCAGTGTGTGTCGGGAGACAATATTATTATTATTATTATTATTATTATTATTATTTGCCTTATACCGCGGTCGCGGTGGTGATGGCGGTGGTCGCGGTGTGGGGTGTTATATATACCTTATAATAATATATTATACATTCATATATTGCGGCAAGGTGAAGTGGTGTTGTACCTACCTATAGTTTAAACGGACGAGAGAAATCGGCGGTATGTATATTGTATATATTGTGCGTCCAATAAATATACAAGGCATATTTTATACGTACACAATGTGTTTGTCGTTCGGCGTAGACCAGCAATCGTATATATATATATTATAATAGCAAACGCAATATATACGTACGTATATATATATATATATTATAATATTATAGTGCGGTGACTTGTGATGGATTTACATAAAACAATTTACATAGTACATAATTTTACTGTACAATAGTTAAATGCCCTGTTTTATTATACGAAATGCTAATGAATGGACACGGCCATTACGACACACGGGTGCAGACGGCGGTAACATATTATATATATTTTATATATAATATTATACTGTTGCTTACATTATATTATTGCCGTTGTTGTTATTATTTCCAATTTTTTTTTTCTTCTTTATTCGTTGAAATATATTATTTCTCGACGAAATTGTTATTGCTATGCTACGACGTTCAAAGAAAAATATTGATACATTATACATTGCAGGTACATAATAATATGCGCACGCATAATATAAAATATTCTTGTACGTACATATAAGATATAATATATTATATATTTATACTCGTATAATCGTTCACCGTGAATCGTAAATAAATTATCAAAATTTAGTATTCCTAGCCTGGGAGAGTGGGGGGAGGGTAGTTCCGCGAGCGTATAATATGGAGGAACCTATATGTGTATGTATAATATAAACTCGATCGATTTATTTCCCAATTGCATAAAATATACACAACGCTATAAAGGTACGCCGTTTATTCATAGGCACCTATACCTACGCATATATATAATACCTACATGATGTTAAGTACATATAAACTATCCATCTGCCATATTATATCTATTATTATGCCTACACATATTTATTATTATTATTATTATTTATCTACCTATGCACAATATCCGTAAAAACAAAATATTATATGTATTTCAATCTACACAACTCCGGTGTTTGCATACCTATATTGATATATGATTATTATTTTTGTAATCGATTATTTATTATTATTATTATAATTCATATGAAACACAATTTTTCGATATACCTACCCCCCCCCCCCAAGGAATAGAAAAATACATAATAAATTATAATACATTTTTATATCATCGATTTCTGTAGAAAATGTATATCTTGAGCTTTTCAATAAATACCATCCGGAATTAACTCTTCTAGAAATTCTATACATTCGAGTGTTTACTCAATAATAATAGGCAATAAAAAAATAGATATTGATTACTACTACTCGGTTCGGCCGGTCGCATTGTTTACATTCCATACAATATTAGACTTTATTTGTATTTAAATTCTACAATACTCGCCCCTTTTTATTTTCCAATGTCAATAAACAGCAGTACGGTTATATGGATTGACACAAAATTTCTAATAAGATATTTATTACCAATTATTTTTTAATACAGCCATCCTGACCCTTTTTTCCCCTTCGCGGCACTATAAATAATATTAGTATATTCGATGGAAAAAATTGCGTGTGTCCGTATATAATGCATAATATCTATAGATATTCGTACCTATATATATATAATATGTATTATATTATATTGTATTCCGTTTTTTATTATTCTCTTTTTTTCAGTTTTTTGCACACCCCTTATTTGCCACATTGTATATATTAATAATTTGTAATAAATTCAAATTATATATGTTTTTCGACTTTTACGTGCGCTTTTTTTTTTTTTGTACGAATAACAATTGCCGCGCTTGCAGGTAGGCGAGAATTCACGATAATTATGCTGCAGGTTGTCGGAGTGTGTGCTGCTATGTGTAGTTTACCTAAACATTAATGTATATAACTCTACTGCAGTACTCGAATCATAAATACATAAAGTAGTTATGGTCGTACTCTATATGCTTGTAAATAATAATATTATATTACAATACTTTTTATTGTGCATAATATATTTTATTATAAAAGTGCAGCCTATATCGTAACCCGGCGGTGGTGCACCGGTATATATTGACAATATTCTACTACCGCCTTCTGTCACTTCTAAACCTTCGTCCTCCACCCTTCAACCACTGCTGTTAATATAAACATAAATGTGTGTGTGTGTATGTGTAGTCTAGTAAACACGTATATATATTTATATATACATAGACAACAAACGAGCAGCTTGCATTGTTAAAATTAACAGGCTACAGTCGAAATAATGTTTATAGATGTTAATATGGTATACATGTATATTTGTTTTTTGTCGTATATTTGCTTACGTTTTAGTATGTAACGCAGTAGTGTACAACGTTTTAAATTTGGTAGGAGTTAAGCCGTCTCGATTATATTATATTATATTTTTATAAGTCCCAACCGCCGCGCACATGAAAAACTCGCACGTCATCGAAGCGCACATTATATTATATTTATATTGAAGAAAAAAATTTAAATCTCCGCATATTATATTACACTCGCACACACATATATCAGTACGCAACAGCCGGGCTTAAATGTAAATCGCGTACGTATAATATAGGCTTTTTAATAATATTATGCAGTGATGCCGCCGTCGTGGCGCGCGCACACAATATTGTTATTATTGCAGCGCTCAATTCCCACCCCGTATATACAACTCACTACCCTGCAGTTGCACGGGCCTGTTTTGGCGTAAATTTCTAAATTCATTTTTTTATCGTTTCGTTTAATCGTCTAAACACGTGTTGGGGAGTTAACAATTAAAAAAAAAAAATACATGTGCAGTGTACACGAATGAAAACTTGTAAACAACAAATTTATTGTAAAATCCATTGCACCTACCCACAGACACTCGATTAGGGATTTCTAAATATTATAAACCGATATATAATATTATATGTCAATACCATCTCGAATTTCTATACATTTTGGATAAGACGATTAATCCTTCTCGAAAAATCCCAACATTCTCGCTATATACTTATTCCCTCTTTTTAGTACCGCTATAGTTCGTATACTCAGCTATTGTGCTGTAGAGAGTCTATAATATTATCTATCTTCTCCTCCGTTCTTTCCTTCTCTCGTCCTGTTTTGAGTTAAATAACGTTCACATTATACATATGACTATGCGGTTCACTTTCACGTAGGTACAGCACATTACTCGACACCCGTCGAATATATATATATATATATATACTTACCTGCAGTACTCGTAATTAATTAAAACATAATAATTCCTACTCACTCTGTTCGTGTATATACAAATATGTGCGCTCAACTAATCGGTGTGTGCTATCGTTGTTTTAACAGCCGACAGTTACCAGTACCAGCTGCAGTCCATGTGGCAAAAGTGCTGGAACACCAACCAGAGCCTGGTGCACAACCTGCGGTTCAGAGAGCGCGGCCCGCTCAAGTCGTGGAGACCAGAAACGATGGCCGAGGCCATCCTGTCCGTGCTCAAGGAGGGCCTGTCGCTGTCGCAGGCCGCCCGCAAGTACGACATACCGTATCCGACGTTCGTGCTGTACGCCAACCGGGTGCACAACTTGCTCGGTCCATCCGCGGACGGCGGCGCAGGTAAGCGGCGCTGCATATCGCGCATTTCGCTATGAATATAATAATAATAGTCAACCGCATCGTGCAGCTGCGCGTGTTTAGCGGCCAGTGTTTATTCCAGATGACCTTCTATATCCGGTTAGGGGGGTATCGTAAATTTTTAAAGGAGTACATACCGAGTGTTATGTGGTCATTGAAATCGAAAAAAAATATCATATCATTAAAAAAACTAGATACCCCCCCCCCCCCCCACCATCATGATGTGATTTATTTTATTTTATTGTTAGTTAACGTGGTAACGTCTTACATTTTTCAGGGGGGTTTTACCCTCCTCTACCCAGTTTATCCCCTGAAATAAGCACTGGCCGCGGCCGATATCCATACGCGCGCGAGATTATAGTGATTCCGCGAGCTAGGACTGCGATGACAGTAGCGTATCCATGGGGTTGGGGGGTCAGAACCCAAGATGGTAAATTAACTTTATTTATGTGAATTACGGTTTCACATTAACATTTTTATATTTTTAGAATTTTGACTTGGAAATCATATTAAAATTGTCAAAAAGTTTCAACATATTATTAGGTATGTTATATTTTTACGATAAAAATAAATATCTGATACCACGAAGTAAAGTGTGGTAAGTTTAAATTTTCTGACCCCATGAAAAGTTCCTGGCCAAGCCACCTGACAGCGAGTTAGTTCTGAGTTCATATATCTTTAGCTCTGTGCGTCTATAAACGCGCTATATAGCTCCGTTTTCGCGTCTCGAGTCAAGAGTGTAATAATATGATTGTGTCTATTATATACGTTCTGTTTTCTATTTTATTTTTTTTTTTTGACGCCACCCGCCACCGAACTGGTTTGATGATAGTTCCGCATAGCGCGTATAACGCGTATTTATGGTCGTATTATATACCGAGATCTAGGTTGTGCCGAGCCACGAGAGTCGCCCGGAAACACTACGACTATCGTCTTTTACCGCGTTAGCTTGAAATACCAGCCTCGTCTGGTAACGGGCATTATAACATGTTATAGGTGTATAATATATAATATTATCATAGATAGGTACCAATATTATGGTATATTGTACAGAGCAACATAATATACGCGGACCGTACGATAATAATAATTATTATAATAATTGTATATACGTAATAATAATATTATGTACGTGATCGTACACAATACGTGTGCGTATATTCTGTTATATACGCGCGTCACGTTAAATATACAATATAAAACTTATTATTTATTATAATTTCTCTTCTCGTAATCAAAGCGATTCCGCCGCTCCGAGTGTATCATTATTTATACTCATATATCTATCGGTATAATTCGTATATTTTAATATTATAATATATTTCGATTTCATAACGCTTATTATATATTATATACATAATAATATTATACTAGCTGTATTATTATAATGTGAACAATTAAAATCGAATTGCACAATAATATAATTTGTTATATTGTACATAATTATTACACATATATATATGTATGTGTGTGTGTGTGTGTGTGTGTGTGTGTGTGTGTGTGGATATTTTATTTATATAGAATGAATACAGGGTGTTTATCAGCGTTTGTCCTCGTAAATATGTTTACCCGCACGACGTTCACATTTTAATAATATGACAAAGTACGTCACATACTACGGTTAGTTATTATACTATAAATGGCTATTAATATACCAATGTATGAATTGTTGAATATTATATTTAAGTTTCCTGCAGCCTATGGCTTATATTTTTTTATTAAGCCATTTAAATATGCTTATCTGTCCGATGGAAATGATAACAATTCGACGTTTAATCTGTTTGATCATCCGCCTAAATTAGCAACTCTATACAGTGCCTATTGTGTGTCGGGCCGTTTCAAATTGCTGTAAGAAACTCGAAAACAAAAAATCCTATACTTATTCATTTCAAGTATTGATGGTTAGACGCAGCAATAATTTTCCCAAACTATATAATATATTCTAAAATATTTATAATATATTATATTGAAAAAAGAATTGACGGAAACGTAATGCATACACGCGGTGAGACACTCTGTATATTTTTATAATAATATATTAAATATAATAACCGCTGAACTCTTAATAATTTGTTTAATGTAATTTTTTATGTTATTAATTTCATGACGACATTGCTTATCGTCTATCAGTCTATCATTCCTATTTCTTTTTATTATTTAAATGAATACCAATAACAATATATTATTATAATATTCACAAAAAAAGTATACAAAAAATTCCAAGAATATCGTTTGAACTCTGTACTCGTAAGATTTAATATAAATAATTTATATTGTGCAATGTGTACGTAACACTAATATTATGTACGCTGACAGTTATTAAAAAATATATTTTTTTTTTCATAATATGTAAATGTCAACGTTTTTTCTTATAATCAAAATAACAATAAAATATAGTAAAAATGTTTTCGTTGAATTTCCAAACAAAGATCCTTAAAGTTATATAATTCTGGCTATGTTATTTCTGAATTTCTTGCTCGATTAGTATTACTATTAATAATTAGCTAATGATTAAATTATTTTGAATATTATATATTAAAGTTTGTTTGCAAAATAGCTCATAGTAGTATGAATCATGGGAAATATTTGTTTATACAATATTGCGTGATATTTAATTATTAAAATATCAATAATAATTAAAAAACAAACCAATTCATAAAGTTCAAATAATTTATATAAATTAATATTTTATGTGATAAGTGGTTACTTTGTTATGATTAAGTATTCAATAGGTATGCTTATTATTTAAAGATATGACTAAAAACCAATATTAAATCTCTGGTATAATGTTTTATAATAACCTACTAAAACTCTATCAAATATTTTGTATATATTTTAGTATATATATTATACAATAAATACTTTTTTTTAATGTATTCTTTTTAGATTTATTTAGTTATTTTTTTCATTATTTCGTCGAATCTTGATCACGATACATAAACATTTAAAAAAAATCATCTGCCGAACAATTTATGGTATAAAGGTTGATTCTCATTAAAAAAAAAAAAAAAAAAAATTGTATTCCATAAGACTCTTTTAATGATATAACAATTCTAAATAATTTAAAATGCTGTCCTCAAAAATCCCAAAAATCAAAATTGAATTAATTCACGAATAAATGGGAGTGAACATGTTAAGTGAAGCCTAAATCACCTTGTATTAATGGTGATATAGTAATAATTTTATCTTTAGATCTAACTAATAACTATTGTACGTTTGTTTTTTGTTTAGGCTAGAATGATGTAGCCATATATGTACCTATTATTCATTTTTATCCATTAAATATTAAAATATTAGCTTCAAAACGTCGTGGTCGTCATAGCCATTATATTATATCTAATTTAATTCGTTTGGACTTTACGAATATCACAACCACACTAATATTTTCAGTCTCTACAGATCGTTAACTCATCTTTTTTTACTATTATTATTATTATTATTATTATTAAGTACTTATGTAGTTATATGTGTTATTAACGTCGTTGTTTATTGTGAGTAAAACTCCAAAGAGCATCATAGAATTTCTTATAAATAATACGTCTTCGTCGAAGAGTATGAAGAGGGAAGAGAGGTCAGCAAGTCACTGTTATTAAGAACTGGGCAATCTCCCACATTATATAATATATATATAATATAATTTAATATTTTATAGCTATATATAACAATTTTTGGTAACGTAATAATAAATACCTACCCAAATACTGTGGACAGCTTATCGAATTTTTTTTTTATCTTCAAAACCCTTCGATTCGACAAATAATAAGGACTTGTATATAGTCGTGTTTATGGTATGTATATATGTATGTATGTACGTACGTATGTATGTATGACCCGAATTTCCAGACTTTTCCACGTCACCATACTATATATTATAACATATATATACAATATACATTTATGTATTATGAAAATCCCCAGGGCGTATAGTGGTATACATAAATATGTATGTGCGAGCACTGTGCACGCGTGCTATACTCGTACTCAATACCCCTTATACACACACACACACACACACACACACACATATTACCTATATGTATTTATATACACTATTATTATGTGCGAGGGGCGCAGAATATCATATATTATGCTCTGGATCGTTGTCGTTGCCGTCATCGTCGTCGGTCGTCATACACGTATAATACGAACACGTGTAATGAGTATAGTTATACTGCACCCTCCGTCGATCATTCCCTGCAATCCCCTCTGGCACCGTCGCGTGCGTTATATATATATATATATATATATATGTATAGAAAATAGGGGTGGTACGATTTTTAACCATATTAGCTCGCCTCGTGGTTTTGCCACCGTCCCACTCTTATCCCACCGGCGTTCCCGTCGCTGTGGTCGTGACAGTTCGGCCGCGTATTATTATATTATTATTTTATATCTACATATAAATGAACTTACCGTGCATATGTGAGTGCGTCTGCTCCGTGTACGTTGTGCACCTACGTAGGATAGGCATGTTATAAAAAAAAAAAAATAATTATATCACGATTTTTGTGTTTCATGTCTACCTACTGCCTTCATAATGCATAGTGGACACGTTAAAACTGTATTTTCCAATTTTAGTACCTTTGAGATTTTTTCTACACTCTTTGACCGGACTGTGTTCTTTTTTAGTACTACTTTTTTCGATAAGGGGCGTTCCAAAAGTTGCACGTATACAACTTTACCTTTTTTTTTTTTTTATCAGGATTTTCTAGTTATTCCCAAAATTATAACAATATAGGTAGTAACTTGAATTTTTCCTTATTTATTATAAACTTAATTTACGAATGCATTTGGTATAACTTCTGAGCTATTTAAAGGTATTACAATTTTTTATTTTTAAATTTTTACTTACAATCATATAACATATTTTTTTTTTATTTTACAAGACTTGCAATTTTTATTACTGTATAATTTGTTTGGCTTTTAAATTTTATATCACAACAAATTACTATCCTAAGCGTATGTGAGCATCAGAGCGAGACAAGTATCTCACATCCTCCCCTTGTGAACATACTCTGTATGGTAGTTATTTATATTTTTTGGGATAAAATACATTTTTAAAGATTTTAAACTTTTAGCACTTGACGTCTTGAATTAATTCAAAATTAATTTTATAATATGTATTGTATATTCTATCCAAAATATATCAGAAATATTCTATACATATTTTTATTTTTTATACACCAACGTTTTTTTTGGCTGCACACAATTTGTTTCAAAACTATACGAAGGACAGAAATTCAAAAAATAATCTCCACCAGACGATCGCCCAAAGCCGGAGTTCTCGGTTGTTGACATAAAATAAACCTCAAATATTGTCACACTTCACCGCCGTTATAATTTTTTTTTCATTTTAAACATTTTAAGATTAATTCATTTTTTACCGACCGTGTTTGCAAAGAAAATTAAAAACACAAAATGTTCTAATTAAAAGTTTTTCCGAACAACTAATGCTTTTCTTGATTGTTCGGTTCCATGAAAATTCATCAAAAGTAAAATAGTCTGTAAAATAGCCGCCAATCTATGTTGGCTTAACAAATATAACTTTAATTATTGATTAATACCTATTTTAAATAAATAATTAGATGTAAAAAAAATATACATTCAAATAGAGAGAAGTACCTAATTAATTTTTTTTTAATACAATTATTCTTGTGGTTTATACAAATTGAAAACAATTAAATGTCATTATCCGTAAATTGTATTTTATCTTTTTACACGGAAACAAGATTTATGCTTCCAATTAAAATTTTTCGTTCCTACTTATTATACATGTATACTAAATGTTAATTTATGTATAGAAATTAATTAATATAGTATGTATATATATATATTCAAAGGAAATGTAAAAATAAATATACTTCTGAGAATATGTCTAAAAATCAATTTACAATAAATTATTGAGTCAAAAATGATTTTTAAATAAGTTTATGTTATATTTATTATTTTAATATATTTTAATATACTAATTAACTATGAAAGATCTATTCACTATTTTTAAGGATAGTTTGAAAATTGTTCACAATAATACTAATAATAGTGTAGTTTAATATTATGTGTTTATATTATTTTTTGATATTAAACACCCTATTAACATACATATTATAATGTATTACACTTATAATTCATTAATCATTATATTATTATACATTTGCTTTTACTATTTAACATGAAAAGGTCAGACAGGGTACAAACGTCGGGTGTTGGGCACTCGACTTACTTCTTTGTATACATTGGCGCAGTGTAGGGTGTGTTATGATATTAAATTTAAAAACAATTTTTCCAAAATGTGTCGATATTTCTACTTTGCGTTTAAAGAAACTATTGAAAAATATTTATAAATTAGATCACCCATAAGTATCTGTTTATGTAAAATACATCAGAATATGGTGTTTGCATTTTTGATAAATTCAATTAATTGTTTTCAATAAATATAATTCACGACCTCGTAATAAAAATTAACATTTAAATAACATTTTTTATTATTTTTTTCAGAAAACTTTATTGACTTAACTTTATGTTATACCTTAGGTTAAATTTAGATTATTATTATTTATTTTTAATTCTATAAAATGAGATACTTTATTATTATTTCATAAATAATAATTATAAAACTTGGAACTTAATTATCAGATAGAATACAAATTAATTACTAGTTATATGCGCATTGTTTAACTATTCATTTATTCAGCGAACTATTCTTGATTAATAAATCATAAAGCTAACTTTAAATATTTTCAATAATTACAGGTATTGAACACAGAACATAACTTACTTTTAAGTTTACTTATATAATAATATGTCTTTATTAATAACTCCTATATTTTTATAAATAATATACATAAATAAGAAATAAATTAGAGGTATAAATTCTTAAATATATTTTTGTTTACAGACTTGAGGCCTAAGGGCAGAGGACGTCCTCAAAGGATATTGTTAGGATTTTGGCCAGAAGATCACATCCAAAATGTAATCAGGACTGTTGTATTTAGAGATGCACAAAACATCAAAGAAGAAGCATTACACCTATATCCGAGAATACCGGTAAGAAAATAAAAATATATTTTTATTTCTTTAATTTAATTAAAACCGTAATATTTAGCCATAGTTGTCAAGTACCTACCTCTTAAGAGAGTAATTTAAACGTGCAAAATATGTCTACTGTACTATAATATAAATTGATAAGTCCTAACTATTGAAAACAAATAATTTTATTATTACTTCTTGAAATTAAATAATTATTCACGTATAGTTACAATTTTCTTTAAATTTAAATATTTTTTAGTACAATAAAATATAAATTATGTGTACAGTTTGTACGTATTCTTTAATTTAATAAATATTGACAAATTACCATTATTAAATTTTAATCAAGGACGTTTCGCAAAGCTTATAATTTATGATTCAACGAAAATGGTATAATATATAATAATAAATGTACTGTACAATACGTCACAAAAAAAAAAAAAAAAAAACAGTAAAAAATATAATTATTATATTACTTATTTATTTTGCCATTATTTATAATCAAAAATAAATTTCATCAGTTGCGTGTTTGAAATAGTATTCCATAGAATCGGTTTTTTTATATTTATGTATTTTATTTTGTATAATCGTATAATAATACAATATATACATTATACATTTATAGGTACATGGTCTAAAGCCTAATTTAAATAAAATTAAAAATATATGGAATTAAAAATGTATGTACAAATAGTTATACAATGTGTGAGTCCAAGAGGGGGAAAGTCGTTTAGTGAACCGCGGTCTCTCCTGCGGTTTGTGGATAAACTTTTTCACATTAATAATGTACTCGAATTTTGATAGTTACTAGCAAAACAATTCTCGACGTACGTTTTGTAACGCTAAGTAGCCAGTGAAACCATCTGAACCATATTATTATGTATTATCTATCTACTCGTATTAAATGCATATATAAACTTGAACGGGACGTTAAAATAATGAACTATATCATATTATTTTATTTTAAATCATTAATAATAATAATTATTGTAATGATTCGTAATTTAATTTCACTACAATATAAACACCTATGTATACGGATGTAAAAATATGGTAACAAAAGTATACTTTTAATATGTGCATACTCAGGGGGACTTAGGATTTTATGGTAAAGGGGCCAAGGTTTGAGATGGGACATTCTGAGATTTTAACCTATCCTACCACGAATGTCAATGCGCACTTATATGTATACTTTAGACATTTAATATTTTTAAGCAAATGAAACGTTTCAACATCACGAAAGATTAGACGTTGTCATATTATAAAATAATAAGTATTAAGTCATCACTCGTGAATTACGTTATCAGAGTTAAAAGTTATAAGAGTATAGCTTATCTCCGATAAATTTGTCATATTATTTCTATAGTAGTAAATACAAATTATAATAGGTAGGTATGTGAGTATTTTATAATAAAAACCTACTATTTAAGTCTTATAACTTCACAATTTCATCCTGATGATTTTCTTTCTCGACCAATTTCTGTTTTAAAAAACAATATATACAATAATTATAATTTCTATAAAATATTCAACTTAAAAAATAACATGTAATATACGGATGCTTCAATAAATGGTTATTCATAATTTTATAATATTTTCGTTACACATAAAAAAAAAATTCGCTTACCTAATAATACAGTTATTCAATTGAGTAATATATTTTATTTTTTAATAATTTTGTTTTACTAAAATAGCACCTACAATTTTTCTTCTAAATGCTGACTTCACATTTTTTTTTTTTTATCTCATTTATACCTATTGTAGTAAAATGTTATTCTAGTTCACTGTTTTATGGGTTTCATTATTACCAATTAATGACTAATGTCTGACAACAAAACTGGGATATAAATTAATGTTTAATGATGACATTAAAATATTAAACGCATTGAACATTAGCTATCATCGTAACGTATTATGTAGGTACCATGTTAATATTTAATAATTGTGTTAAGATTAAAAAAAAAAAAAAATACAACAAATTTAAGCTGACAAATAAAACTCTTTTAACAAAGAATTTTATACAAAAAATGTAATTAAAAAAAAAAAAAAAACATTCAACAACAGTTGAATTTTTTCGTAAATACCTGTTTTAATTTAAATTCGCCTATTATACATTAAACATTTCGATGTAGGCTAAAACATTTTTTGTCATTATTTTTATTACTTATTAATTATACTTATTTTTCATTTAAGTAATGTCTTAAATAGGCCAATAATAATTTATCATACAATCCAATTTGTCTTTTGAAAGTATATGGCTGGAGTAAATTAATTTAAATATATGCAAATTAAAAAAAAAAAAAAAATAAAAAAATAAAAACAAAACCATTTTTAATTTAAAATAATATTTCATAAAAGATTTATTTTTCCTCCGTGAAACTTATATAATAACAATACCGATATTTTATGTTTATATAGTGTTTATCCGACCCAATGTCTGGTGGTCACTATGGTAACAACGCGGTTCAGTCGGTTGAAGGTCCCGTGTCACCAAACTCTGCCGCGGCCGCTGTGGCTGCTGTTGCGCAGGGTATTCGGCAGCAAATGATGGCTGCCGCCGGACATAACATCTCTCCCTCGTCGGGTGTTGACGCCTTCGCCCTACTCGCCTCTTCGCACCTACCCAGTCCGGCTGACATGTCACCCAATTCGTCTCCACCCGATTCACCGTTGGTTTCCAACAACAACGTCGAGGTAAGAACAACAATTCTAACAACAACAAAAACAATAATAATAACAATAACAATAATAATAATAATAACAATAATAATAATAACAATAACAATAACACAACAAACTGTATTATGTCATACCTGCAGTATAAGGGGTTTTCGGAAAGAGTATTTTAATGTCGCAATAATAATAATAATAATAATAATAATAATAATAATAATAATAATTTAGAATTACTTCTTATTCTACCCGCAATCATAGCTTCCTTTCTTAAACGCAAGTCACATCACTTTGTGTTACCTACGCAGTGATAAACCCGCTCCCGCGACATCCTTAGCGTGCGCGCAGGACCGATGCTCCCTGAACGGTCTAAACACAACCTGTATTTCTATGTTATACATGTCCTTATATAGGTTCCTATATATTATTTTATAGCTGCTATAACTCGAATTCTTCGACATAATCATATTTTTTTACCACGTATAAGTAGTGATATTACTGCCGCGCGTTTGGCGTTAATATCCCAATAAATAAATAACGCGTCACGTTTTTTACTTATATAACCATTTATTTTTCAAACAGGTGAGCCTAAGCGGTTACAAGCGATCCATCGACCACTCCAACCAAGACAACGTGTTCGTCGAAGACATTGATGAGCTCGTGAAGAACAGCCATTGTACCGGAGGCTCGTCAATGGGCAACAACATCGATCAGCAGCCGTTACCGTTAGTCATCGAGCAGCGGACTGAATAAATATAAAAAAAAAAAAAAAAACATCTTACACACAGACTGAGATAAACTATAGCGAACAAACCCAATAATACCGATGTATTAAAGACTTTGTGGTCATGTGAGTTGGTCGTCGATTAAAAATCAACAAAACTAAACAACAACAAAATAAACAAAAAAATGTTAAATAAAACAACAACAAAAAAAAAACCATTGTAAATTTAAAGCATAGACTTATATATTATTATCGATTGGCAGTCCTAGCATTTATTTTTAATAGATATTATATTTATTATTTTAAATATCGCACTATGTAATTGTTAAAATATTCGCAATTACGTCATTCGATTTCTGTATATACAATAAAAAAAAGTATAACATATATTTTATTTTAAAATGTCAGCGGTTTGAAAACAAAATTCACAAATATTTATTGAAGATAATATATTATTGTAATATAAAATTTTTTTAAATGATTAAAAAAATAAATAAATACTATAGTCAAAATAACTATGACTATAAACTATTACACGTGAATCAACAAGTAGTTTTTTTTATTACATATTTGTATATTATATAATATAATATAATATAATATAATATATTTATTCGTATACTATTATTTATGACATTATATATGTGGGCAACAAGCACCAATGTATAAAATATATTACGTAAAATATTTATATATATAATAGGTGTGTATATATTGTTTGATATGTGTCAATATACTATGTCTGACGGACAATAAAATGTGTTATTATTAATTAACAGTAGGTTGTAAAAAAAAAAAAAAATTAAAAATATTTTAAAAAAACTTATAAACAGTAATGCTTGTAAAATATGACGTGCGGTTGCCATGATAATTATTAATATTATGTAAGAGTAGTTTTTGGAGTATCGAAAAAAACAATTTAATACATACTTTTTAAGGCAAGATTGTATTGGTTACCTGTTCCTAGCACGTATCTAAATATCTATTGTAAATCATTTATTGAAAGACAAACATTCTCAACGGACTAGGCCAGTAAAATATATTTCATATTCTTATTTCCTTATAATTATTATTATTATTATTATTATTATTATTTTTTAGTTTTAGATTAATTTATTTACACACACTTTTGTTAGCATAAGCTTGTTGTATGCATAACTCTCATATTATACATTTTGATTAATTATGTATTGTTTATAATTGTATTCATTAAAATATTATTATTATTATTATAAATGGACTTAAGAAAAAAATTGTACTTGTTTTAGACTACACAAATAAATAATATTGTAAAACTCCGACGTGTATATTATTAATAGAAAAAAGGTAATACTTTTTCTTTTGTTGTATATTTTTTAAAAAAATAAACCTTGCTACATTACATACTCAATGTGTTATACTCATTATTTATTTATAGAAATTATTTTATTATTTTATTAGTTCTTGGCATCGAGCAAACAAAAAAATTAAAAATAAATAATAAATAATGTAAAAAAATATTATTCAATTAATACACATAAAATACAACTTTTAAATAAAATACTCTTATTACGTTGTCAAATTAAATTAATAGACCTTCATTAATTATTATCATAATAATAATATGTATAATATTATGTAATATATATTAAAATATTTTTGATATTAACAACAATGTGTTAATAGTATTTTTAAACAAATACTTTTAGCATTAGTATAATAATAAACAGATAAAAAAATGTTGTTGATACCATACAAATTATTATTAAAATATTAAATTAATAATAATAATAATAATAATAATAATAAATTAGACATTGATTTATGTTGTATAAATAGAATGCTAAAAGCATAAAAATATAACATAACATAACGTTAAAACGTCTCTATGTCATTCTGATCATGTAAATTTGACATGAATATGTCTATATGCAGTCGGTTTGTTCAATATCCCATCATCGATAGTCTAATTTTGTTCTGAAGAAAATTATTTAACGATTATTTCCCTTGAAATTATTTTTTATTCTTGATTTAATTAAAAAAAAAAAAAATACATCAAAATCTGTCTAATGCAATTTAAATATATTTATTATAGATACTTATTATAGACACCAATATCAATATATTATACAACTTTAAGTCGCAATTCTAACGTAATGTATGCACAGTAGATTGGTATATAATGAATTTACATAACACACGTATTGTAAAGTTATCTACTTAGTTTTTCAAAGAATTTATTTAAGTATAGTAATAATCTTTATTTATAGGTAACGAAAATAAATTTTATATATGTACAACACAAGTGCTCACATTTAAAAAAAATATTATTCTGATTTCTGGCTAAATTTTTAAAACGTATCTACCTATAAATATTAATATTATTATTATTTAATAATTAATCAATTAATCAACCAACCATGCAACTACGGCCTAAAGCTATAATGTAGGTATATAGGCATTATCTTTTATATTACTTTAGGTAAAATACATAATATTAATCTTATTCACATAATTAATATACATAATATATTGTGTATAGAGTATATACTTTGTGGTCTTATAGATAAAATATTATTTAATCTGCCTATATGTTACTTTTAATCCCAAGCTTGTTTAAACAAAATGCTTATTGTAATGTAAATTAATATCATTATGAATAAACTAACGCTATGAATATTGTAATATTATGAAATTGTCAACGTGACCTCCAAAATAAATAGCTTAATAACACAACATTATACATATATATATATATAAAAATATGTGTGTGTGTGTGTGTGTGTGTGTGTGTGTGTGTGTGTGTGTGTGT